CCACGCCCAGCTAATTTGTGATTTTATTGTAGAGATGAGGTCTCGCCAAGTTGCCCAGGTGGGTCTTGAACCCGCGGGCTCAGGCAATCCACTCACCTCAGCCTCCCAAAGGCGCGGGATTACAGGCTGAGCCACCGAGCCCGGCGGTTTCCTTTTTTTTAATGGAGTCCTTAGGGTTTTCTATATAGAAGATCATGCTCTTTGCTAACAGCAACAATTTTACTTGTTCCCTTCTGATTGGGGAGGTTGGTTATTTCTTTTTCTAGCCTAATTGCTCTAACTAGGACTTCCAGTTCTTTGTTGAGTAGAAGTGGTAAGAATGGGCATCTTTGCCCTGTTCCTGATCATAGAGGAGAAGCTTTCCATTTTTTGCCCTTGAATATGATGTTAGCTGTGGGACTTTCATATATGGCCTTTGTTATGTTAAGGTAATTTCCATTTATTCACGGTTTGTTGAGAGTTTTTTATCATGAAAATATGCTGAATATTGTCAAATTTTTTTAATGCATCTATTGAGACAATCATATGATTTTTACCCTTTATTATGTTAATGTGGTACATGATATGTTGAATAATCCTTGCATCCCAGGGATAAATACCTCTTGAGCCAGGCATGGTAGCTCACACCTATAATCGCAGCACTTTGGGAGGTAGTCGAGTGGATTGCCTGAGCCCATGGGTTCAAGACTATCCCGGGAAATTTGGCAGGATCTCTTCTCTGTGATAAATGAGAGTGAGAGTCCAACTCAAACAAAACAAAACAAAACCCCAAAACAAGTGAATAAACAACAACAAAAAAACTACTTTATCATGGTGTGTGATTTCTTTTTTTATTTTGAATTGGTGTCTCACTGTGTTGCCCAGGCTGTAGTGCAACGGTACACTCATGGCCACTGCAGTGTCAACCTGCTGGGCTCAAGTGATCCTTCTGCCTCAACCTTCCAAGTAGCTGGAACCACAGGCATATGCCACCATGCCCAGCTAATGGTTTTTATTTTCTGTAGAGATGAGATCTCTCCAAGTTGTCCAGGGTGGACTCAGGCAATCCTCTCGCCTGCAACTCCCAAAGTGCTGGGATTACAGCAGTGTGTGATTTTTAAAAAATATGATGTTGAACCAGGCTCGGTGGCTCAGCCTGTAATCCAGCACCTTGGGAGGCTGAGGTGAGTGGATTGCCTGAGCCTGAGGGTTCAAGACCCACCT